TCCCCAGGGCTGTGTGCTGAGTCCCCTCCTCTACTCCCTCTTCACCCACGACTGCACACCTGTACATGGTTCCAACACCATCATCAAGTTGGAACGACACAACGGTGATTGGCCTCATCACTGACAACGATGAGTCAGACTACAGGGAGGAGGTCCAGCACCTGGTGACCTGGTGCGCCAACAACAACCTGGCCATCAACTCCAAGAAGACCAAAGAGATCATTGTGGACTTCAGAAAAAACAATGGCGGCACACACACCCCCATCCATATTAACGGAGCCAAGGTTGAGCGTGTCCCCAACTTCAAGTTTCTGGGTGTCCACATCTCTAAAGACCACTCTTGGACCCTGAACACCTCAACCCTGATTAATAAGGCTCACCAGCGTCTCTTCTTCTTGAGGAAACTCAAGTAGGCCCATCACCTCAGATTCTGGTGAACTCACCACTCCCCACCATTGAGGCTGTCCACAGCAAGCAATGTCTGCGGAAGGCGCGCAGCATTGCTAGGGACACCTCCCACCCAGGACACAAACTGTTTGCCCTCCTCCCCTCTGGGAGGCGCTACAGGTCTCTCCGTTCCCGAACTAGCAGGCTCAGGAACAGCTTTTTTGATGATTTCAGTGGAAAGAGATGCAGTATGTTCATAAAACATTCAAAGTTGTTTGGAAAGGGGAATTCTTAATTACATTATATATGATGCTGTAACTGGATTTGAGGCAAACAGCTGGTAGGGGGTGATGTTGAAAGGCCCCCCAATCAGCAAGTTTTCAAACAGAGCAGTGGGGGCTTTAATAAGTCACAGAGATAAAATGTTGAACACCGAGGATAGTATGGACGGTCTCCGAAATATAACTTTGATATGCAGACAGTGGCATGGTGCTGGAGGAGACATTTCATAGGAAGACTAAGATTTAAATTCATTATCATTGCACACAGTAAGCAGCAGTAAATCTGAATCTGAATCGGCCATATGTGTGTACACACACAAAAGGTATGTGTTACACAGTGTAAGAGCAGAAATAGGCACACAGCTCAGATACAAGCACAACAATATGACCAAAACAGGTAAACATAAATATTTACCTATAATGTACATACAAGTAAGTGAAAAAAGGAGTTAACTAAGTGTATATATATATATATATATATATAGCGATAATAAATATCATACAATGTCTCAACACAAGTAACAACAGTAAAGTAATCTGAGAGTTGCAGGCTGTGTCGCACAGTGATGACGTTGTGTGTGTGTACATGTGAGCCACGTTAGCTGTTTTTGTTTTTGGACGTCGTGTATTTTTAACCACAGACTGATTTAACAACATCAGTACGGTGAGTAGTTACAATCTGTGTGGATGTTTCACGAGTGGAGGTCACGCTGCACTACAATGAGTTTACCATCTAAACGAAGCCCTTTTCAAAGTTAGTATAAGTGCTGTAGGTTAGCCACCGCACTTAGCAACTGCACAGAACTTGACTTAATATTAATAATAATTTAATAGTAATGTAACCGGGGAACAACTCAACCTTCCCATGCTACAAAACGGACACATTTGCTGCAGCACGCATAGCCAAAAACCTGTGAACGCATCCGTCACTGAAGCTTCGTTTGGTTTACACTACCGCAGCATTTGCACTCATTGTCAGCGTTTAAAGGTTTGTTTGCCCCATGTAGGTTACCACATGGGGCAAATGTCTACAAAGTAAGACGATGACACTGACTATCAACGTTTAAAGTGACATGTTTGCGCCTGTTGAAGTGAAGGGAGCATCCTACGTGCCACTTGTGCTGTGCAATATTGTTATGTTATGTTCATGCTCTGTGCTGCTTCTGCATATCTTAGTTCATCTGCATATATATATATATAGGCTACATATAATATTTTATATTTTATCTTTTATTTTAAATTGTATTATTAGGGTTAGGGTTTTTAATTTTAGTTTAATTTTAGTTTATTGTATGTTTAATGTATGTAATGTA